ATTACATGTCTATATCTGTTTTCATGAGAAACCACTTTGAAGATATCAATATGTAATACAACAAGCACTGTTAATTCCCTACCACTTTGTAACTCCATACTGTCTGTACTGTTCGTTTGCTATTTTGTAAAATTTTGTCTGTCTGTTAATGTTTTCCACCTTTTATTTTTAAAATAAAAAAAAGAAAATAGACATAACAGGAATAGATATTTTAAAAGTAAGTGACAAGCGTTTGGGAAATTCTATAGAGGGTTATGAAGGACTAGGACTATAAAGGCTCTACGAAAGGTCATGAAATAAGAAATTGTGTAAATTAAATGATGCTGAAAATCAAGCAGGAAAAACTACAGTTCCTGTTAATGAGATGGATAAATCTGAAAGGATTGAAATGCTTTAAATAAGAAAAAATAATGTCCTATACTGGCCAGCTTTCCTGTTTGGAAATTATCGTCCAACACCCCTAACGTAAAGAAGGACAAACTTGACTTGGCTCACGGTTTCAGAGATTCAGTCCATGGCTGGCTGACTCTAAGGCAGAAACATCAAGGTGGATGGGGTGGGACACCAAAGCTGCTCAGTTCTTGGTGACAGGAAGCAGAACACAGGGAAGAGTATCATAAAGAGGTATACCCTCTAAAGGCACCTCTCTAGTGACCCACCTCATCCTGTGCCCTGACTCCTAACAACACATTCAGCTATGCCACTGATGGGTACAGAACCCCCAGGAGCCAATCACTTCTACAGGAGTCTTTTAACTCAGTCAGGTTGACAACTAAAACTAACTAGCTCATATCCGCTTTTCTTTTTTAAGGAATTTTTTTTTCATTTCCCCTAGTATGTTAAATTCTGTTTTCTAATGTTACACATATAATATAGAAGTATTAATGTACAAATATTTACAGCACTCTCATTTTGTCAATTGTCAGGTATAAAGTACAGTTCTAAGGCCATGTATGCTATCAATTGGGTTTGCAAACTGACGTGTTTTGAAGTTACTCTAAGTAACTCTCTTTGATCTCTTTAACTGATAGTAAATTCCTTGTCATCCTTCCCCTAAGCACAGAATGAATATAGTAGGCTTTCTACCAAAAGTAATCGATCAATTCAAAATCTATTCCCAAAATAAAAACATTTAACTTAAAGCTGCTATAATTATATCAATATATAATTCCTATGGTTGGCCAACTAGGATACTTTGTTTTGACTGAACATTAATGGAAAATATATTAATACTTCAAATCCTTTAACATTACTTTAGCATGATTTGATAAGAACTTACTCTTGTCTAGTTGCTTAAGGTCGTCAAGCATAATTTCTAAAGACCTGGCACCCTTCACTGTATCTTAGAGAAAAAACAGGCCGTTAGTTAAATATTTTCTGGAGTACAAACTTTTATCCTACCAGGTAATGCAAAGCTTTGATCTATTTTCCTTGCTGGAAGGCTCTAATGTTGAGAGTAAATTTTCCTCTGCAGCTGTCCTGCATTGGTTTTGATGGTGTTACGTACTAGAAAATTCTTCCATACTAAATCCTCTTTGTTTTCCTTTTACTGAATATTCTTAGGTCCTTCAAATTGTCTTCATTAAGCTAGTTTTTAGTATTTGAATGCCATATTCCTGAAAAAGTCTATTTTGTCATGATTATCTTATTATACTGCCTGAGAATGAACTCTAGTATGAGTGGCTTTGCCACTAGGATGAGGTGAGTGAGGCAGTTATCACCAGAGCAAAATTGAAGACAGTGCCAAACATCTCAGTATTCAAACAATATATGAATGCAACATTTGCAAAAAATACAAATGTTAATCTTAAAAAGTCCATGATGAATAAAACCACAATATTTTTTTTCTTTTTTTTTTGGTTTTTGGGTTTTTTTTTCCTGGTACCAGGAATTGAACTCATGACCTCATGCTTGCCAGGAGAGGCGCTGTGCCACTGAGCTAAATCCCCAGCCCCAAAACACAATATTTTAAATAAAGATGGGGCTAGGTTTGGTGTGGTATACAAAAGCTGCAAAGTATAATTACAGGGACACCAGTCTTTATTGGAAATATCAATTCCTTAAAGTTATACAATCCTATCTGGACACTGGAGATTCAACACTTCAAAGGAGCCAGCCTATATATTAGCTATGTAATAGCACTACTAATTTCTATTGGCTTATTGAAAGGAACAGTTAATGTTTAATTGTTTGATCAATCTTGCATACCTATATCTAGTAATCTGAACAACTCCTCTGAAGATAACAATTGTAATACAACCACCATTGTTCATTTCCTATCATCTTGTTTTAAAATTCTGCATCGTCTTTATTATTTTTGTGTTGTTTTGTTTTTGTCTGTTTTTGTTCTTTTCTCTTGAAAGTAAAAAAAAAAAAATCCTATAAAGGCATTGGGAAATGAGCACTCATTTCTAGCACACCCAGTGTGCAATATGTGTGCCTAGAGATACCACTGACAATCTTGTTTCTGGCTTCTGTTTTAAGTTGCTGTCACTGATACAGCTTCTACTCCTCATCAAGTTTCTCTGGAACTTTCTTGCTCCTTGGCTTCCCGTCCTCACTAGAGCCCTCTTTGCTGGGTCATTCTTAATGATGCAGATATACCTGGAAAACCTCATTCCCAACTCCATTTAAACTGGCACGTGTTGATTTTTTGTAGCTATACAAAAAGTATTGGAAATCTCACCCTACTTGATATTCAAAACATGGAGTTTATGGATATGTAAAATATGTCATCCATATTTCACATATCCAAGACTGGCTTGTCTTAGACATTGAACATAATCAATGCATTACATATTTTACATATTTTACATATCCAGGACTGGCTTGTCTTAGACATTGAACATAATCAATACATTACATTTTGCTGTGAGACCAAAGTAACCCTGGAAAAGCATTTTTCCATATAAACTGATCTGTAGAGGTTTGTGTTCTATAGAACCTGCCTCATAAGTTCAAGCTGGTGATGGAGGCAGAAACTGGGATGCTAACGAGCTGTAGAAAAATTGTTCTTTAAAAATACCTTAGGCAGCGAGCACCTCTTTGCTTCAAAATTGTCTTAGAAAATACAGCCAAAGTAGGCACCATGCTTTGGAACTCACAGCCCAAGTATCTAACACCAACAATATCCCCTTTTTAAAAAAGGACTCTGTTTCATAACAAGCCTATTTTAAACAAATGACAATGGGAAATCCAAAATTGAATGATTCAAATTGCTGCTTTAATGTATTTACACCTAAAAAAGAGAATCAAAGAAGATGAAACATCATTGCCTTCAGGGGAGTTGTAACGTCTGAATCATCTTCATTTCTCTTCTTATTTCTCCCCTATTACATTTTTTGGGGTATTTTATTGGCCATTTGTGCACAATCTGTGCAAGATAGATGCAAACAAAATATCTTTCTTCTGGGGGAAAACAAATAAAAAAATATTGAATATGTCTACATTCAGTTCACAAATAGCAGGCATTCCAGATTTGGGGAAAAGTTTAGAGGATGAGCCATTTTTAAATGAACAACAATGAGAGGGAGTGTGACATTGAGTGACATTAATCATGCTGGGATAATCCACTCCAAGATTTACATCTATAAATGTTTTGCTGTATAAGCTATGACATTTCTCCAGCTCACCACGGAAGTATCAATCTACTATAAAGTCATAAAATATGAGCTTTTGTTGTGATCATTCTAATGTGTTTATGAAAAATTTAGGTATACATAATGATCACATTCATGTAGGAATTTGTACCTCTACATGGTTTATATTGATTTTTTCCCATTCCCCTACCCTTCCTTCAACCCCTCTTCCCTTCCTTATTTATAAAAGCTTTGTTTCCACCTTTTCTTCTTTTCTTGTCTTTTCTTTCCCCTTCCTCCTTTTCTCCTCTTCCCTCCCTAATCCCCCTTCCCATTTGAACATTTTCTTCTTGCTTCCCAGCAGTTATTTCTCAATATGGCCCAGATGTGTAGATGAAGTCAGTCACCTTTGCTATCCCAGCATTTACTACAACGATTGGCATAGAAACAATTCCCAGAAAGTATTTGTAGAAATGATGTTCAAAACCCATGACCTCTTATTTCTGAAAGCTGGTGCCGTTAGGAAGACGTACTTACTAGGAGCAAATTTTTTCCTTGAAGAGCTTAACTGAAATCATAGATGTTGAACCAAGTATTCTAAATTCATACGATTTGATTTATTAGGATTAAATTTGCTATTGTACCTTTGTTTTGGCTTGCAGTTGCCACCTCCATACTTAATACCAACTTCCCTTCACACAGTCCATCTCACATAACGATGAGAAAGAGTGGACCCTGAGGAAATCAAGTTTCTTGCAAAGTCATATAGCAAAGTGGGAGAGCCGAGCCAGAGCTCTGGCTCCCTGGCACCTAGGGGTAGTTTTTCTAATAATTCAGCGTACTATGAAAAAAACCCAATAATAACTTTTTCAATGCTAGGTTATAGCTCTTTGACTAAAAAAGTTTTTCTTCAGTACTTGCAGAGAGCACTACACCATGGAAAATGTTGCCACCAAACAAGCCAAATAAGGCCATTGATAAATTCAGTTTGAGAAATATTGATCCCCTATTGAGAACTGTGGTTCCTTTCTTAATGACAAAAGTAATATACTGCAAATACACAATGATCCAGACTTATTAGTAGTTAATACTAAAAGGATAAGATACTGCACTAACCATAGTCTGTGTTTTCTGGCTCCCAACAGTTTGATGGCCAAAAATAAGGTGTCTGTGGGGACAAAGGAGATAAGCCAAGTTAGACACACACAAATTTGATAGTTCTTGTTTATGAACTGTTTCTCTTCAATAATTGTCTTGAACAGTTTGCTACTGATACGCACTTTGTAATTCAGAACAAATTACGAGACAGACACAGTACAGTTTTCATCTATAATTACTTTGCTGGCCAATTAACAGCAGATATTTAAAATGTCATACATTTGGTGTAATTTCATACCAGTGAGCATAAACGTAAAACATCTAATTGCATTTTTCAAACAAAAATTTTATCCATAGAGAGCTCTAAAAGGAGAGTATTACTGAGCAAGACTCCAGATGAAATATGTTTAAATTCAATATGTTGTTTCCTATACATCATTGCATTTCAGCACTGCCTTTGGTAGATCCAGAAAGCTCAAATGACAAAAATTTTTCCAAACTAAGCAATCATTTGCTGTCTCCATTAAGTACATAATGGAGCTCTCAAAATTATCCAAAGTTGCTCTCAAAAGCAACTTTTTAACTTTACTTTAAATTCTTTATTATTACATGTTTGCAGTCTATAATGTTTACATTCTTTGTGTGTATCTTGCACGCAAAACATAACACATGTGAACATAACACATCTTACTCGTTTTTCAACCTTTCCCTTCTTCCCTCTCTTTCCCTCCATCTCTTGATCCCCTTTTCCATTTGAGAAAGATCTGTCTCCCTACTTCTTATTATCTTTTATTTTGCTCTTTATAATTTAGGTTTCTCATATACGAGAAACTATGTGATATTTAAGCTTGTGTGCCTGATTTATTTCACTTAACATTATGGTCTCAAGGTTTTGAAAGCATTCCTTCATAAAGTCATTTATTGCTCTAAAGTTTTAAACTGAACAAAGCACTATTACCATCACAGCTGATTGATGGGGCTAAAAATAGGAAGAATTCTGATTTTTCTAAAATTCTAGAAACTGATTGATTGAAGTATGAAGAAAATGTCTGAACAAGAAAAACTCATTATTACCATCAAGATTTTCTATTTTCCAAAGAAATGCTTCTAGCCCTGCTAACTGAACCTGTTTGACTCCAGATAGTGGGGAAGCATGAAGACCGTCTGCCTCAGTACTTACCAAACCCTACTCCCTGAAATGCTGATGACTCCAAGACTCAGTGGAACAATGACTGCAGACATTAGTTTCATGGGATTTGTTCTACTTATTAATTAAATATATGAGCAATCCATGTGCAATGAGCATATTTGCAGTAATGTCTGATTACCTGATAGTTCTTTTCTCTAGAAAGGTGATTCTCAAGGAGGGGAAATGGATACTGGGGATAACTGCCTGAATCTCTGGGACAGCAAGTTTTTACCTACCTTCCAATTTTTCTCAGAAATTACTGCAGTATAATAATAAAGAAGGCTATTAATACTAGTTTTGTGCACATAGGAACAAAGTCACAGCAGGAATTTTAGAAGAAAAAAAAGATTGAATCACTAAAGAAGATATTAAGACTTATATGGACCATGCTCATCAAGCCAATCCCACTTGACTCTGTGGGAGATGTAGCTTTGAAGATTTATTTCTTAGAAATAAAATTGGGTCAGGATTATAGGAAAGCCTGAGGGAGATAAAGTAACTAAAAGCTTGCTTTCATGTGAGGCGCTGGTTTTGAGCTACTTCTAGAGTGCATTAATCTTTTTGCGTTGCTTCTTTATTTTGTATGCATATCTGTTTATCTGACTTTAGAATGACTATTTCAGTAAGACTGGTTGGGCATATACTTTTCCCTTCAAAATGATTAGAAATGTTCTCAGCTGTGTTCTTGGAACTCATCTTTATTTTTTACCATTTGCTGTAGTAAAAATTTCATGACTATAAAAATACAGGATGAAACATTTTATCATGTGACATTATGTGGAAATGTCATAAGATCAATATTTTTCACTAATAGTGGAAGATTTTTCCCCTAGCGGAACATGTTTTTGACTTAAAGTAACAGATAAGAGAAAAACAAACTCTTATGTTTGTCTAAAATTAAAGGCATACTTTTACAATCCTACACTTTAGGATATTTAATGCTCCAGTGTCTCTGTCCTACGCTGTTGGCTTCCTTAGTTACCTTAAAATTTATCAAAAACTTCCCAGCCATTTCCCTCTGCCCTTTGTTTGACATACATATTCATGGGAAGAGTCATGAAGAGGGAAGAGTCATTCATGGGAAGAGTCTCTACCTGGAGAATCCTGTGCAATCTCAATTCCAATTAGCAAAGGAGGACTGGACAACTGCAAGTTTATAGTGAATGCAAAAATCAAAGGGTCAAATCATCTACTGAACATCTGAGACAATTTTACTGTGGGATGTCCATGAAATAAAGAATTCTGTTTGTCTCAAATTCCTGTCCTGAAGCCTCTTTAGATTCCCAATGATAGCTACAATCTCCATCATTCAGTAGAGGAACTGTAAACACGACATGGTAAATTTCCTGTTTTAATTCATAATTTTAAAAATCCTTCTGAAGAGTTGAAATTCAGTTCACCATAATGAAGGCCTTTCTGCTGCCTGGAACCAGTGTAAAAATGGAAGTGAACACCTTGAACAATAATGGATCTCCTATTATTAAAGCTGCTCAACTATGGATTGATTAACGTGTTGGTAGGCATTAGAGTAGAAATTCAATTAAACCCTGACTCTTCTGTTTTTGATTTTTTAAAACACCTTTGATTTTAGAAGTTTAACAGATTTACAAATATATCACTTTAGATGCTCTTGTAAATGTTAATGCATCGCAAAATTATGGAATATTAAATATATATCAATGCAATTATACATATAACGTATATAAGTGCATTAGAATTGTTAATCTGCTGCTAATATCTTAGTTATTTAATTCATAGATCATTTGTACCCATTGCCTTGATTTGTTCTAAAGTTCTTTAAAATATCTTCCTTCTCCTGACTGCACTGTTGTCCATTCCTAGTTTTGATCACCTTTGACTCATAAGCCTAATCAAGACATTTAAACCACATCTACCCACTAATTTCAGTCTGGGGATGACAGGAGCAATCGCTAGTTGAAGCCCTCCTCATTTAGACAAAGGCTATGTCTATAGATTCCTGTAAAATGTTTCCCCTATAGATTCTTTTATGTATGGATGGTCTTACTAAAAACAATAATTGTGAAGATGAACACAATTCTTTATTTTCATAAACATGCAATAGCCTTTCCGTCAGAATTTGTGAGAATTCTGGTAGTCCCAAAGTTTATTTCTAATTTCTTTGAGGATTTTTTCATAAAATTAAGATTATATAGAAAATGTAAGCTTTTAATAATAAATAGGAGCCTTTAAAAATTAAGTAGTTTATCCAGGGATATAGTCAGTGACATAAGCACCTGCCTAGCAAGCCCAAGGTCCTGAGTTCAATTCCCAGTACCAAAAAGAAAAATTAGGAAGTTTATGTATGCCTACTTATCAACAATGTATTTGCTAATCACTAATACTTCTTATGTATGAAAATGTTAAACCCTAGGAATGTATGTTACTTTAACTTAATAATAAACTGTTTCAAGCTACCGCTACTTAAAGTATAGTCATATAAAGAATAAAGATGTACTATTTTAAAAGCTTTTTGAACTAAAAGTTTAACTAAAGTGCTGTACTTGAATATTATTGCAGCTTTGGAGACTGCTTTAACTCCAAGAAATTCAGTTCAAAAGTATCCTATGATTGTTTGACTTGGGATAAAATTGTCCAATGAAAGTGACAGCCAGACTGTTTTAGGAAGTCAAATATCTTTGAAAATACTTTTGAAGTATATTTCCTCTTTGTTATAACTTTCCCAAGCAAACTTTAGTACTTCAGTCATTTCTTTAGAGCATTTAATAATATTCAGAACAAGTGAGAAAAGTATTCTAATCTGTGAAATTTGGGCAGTCAGGAGAATTATCCAGAAGATGCCTTCAGCATGCTAGAAGTTTAGTTCAAGCATTCTATGTCCCTTAATCTTATAGGCTAGAATCCTTCAGCAAGTTAGGAATGAATCGCACCTAATGAAACACAGAACACACTCAGGTAAATCATTGTGAACTCAAATGTGCACTTCATCCAGAATGACTGAAATTACTCTCCAGTCATTGCCTCAAAGGACATGAGCTGGAGTGACTCCTACCAGTTCACACATTATCTAAGGTGTCCTCCTGCCCTGGTCAGTATACACACAAAGTGCTGGGCGTATCGACTGAGCTATACAGAGAGATATACAGCAGCCTCAGGCATGGACAAGTCTAGGATTTTTACACTTAGCTAAATTCTACCTTGTACCTTCTAGCATTCCCATGACAGTATTCTAGGGGTGAAGATGACTTTGGATCCCAGGCAGGGACCAGACAATAACAAATTTAATATCATGCCTCAGCTTCTTCCTTTTAGCTAGATATAACTTGTAGATGGAGACTCACTTCCTAAATTCTACTAAGTCACTTTTTGAATTTTTAAGGCTTTCTATATAAACAGCAACTTCAATCATTACGTAACTTGGCTTTCATAAGTCAACTTCAGTGAACACACCAATTTTTCTCTGTTTATTATATTTACTCTTTAAGTTAGATATTAGTTTCTAGTTAGCCTAAGTCAATGTTTCCAAAAATTTTAGTAAAAAGAATAATCGACAAGAATAGAAGTTACAGCTTTGGCATCTAGTTTTCTGTTAAAGAATATTTTCATTTCAACTTACTTGAAATCGGTAAAAAGTGCCATCATCCTTGAGTGTGAGAACGTGATCTGAGATCGGAAAGAAGTAGCCATGGGCAGCCATTAATGTTCCCAAATGCAGCGCCTCCACTGTTTCCAGAAAACAAAGGGAAAGAAAGAACACACAAGAGCTTTAAAATTTCATTTGTTCATTTACAATACTGTGACATTGTCTGGTTCTTTTTGACCACAGTCTTGCACGCAAATTCTTAACGTCTGTACCCAGCTTTAGTTTTTTGTTTTTTGTTTTTTGGTTTTTTTTTAGCTCTTTCACACATGGTACTTAGATAGATCTGGCAATTCACAGTGACTATACAATGACCAGACTCATCCCAAGACCACCAGCCTATGAGAAGACAAAGTTAAGGAACACTGACAAAGAGGACGCCACTCAATCTTCAGAATCTGGCTCCCTTATTTATAGAAGAGATTTGTTTGTTTTGTGTTATTATTCTCCCACAAACAATTCTGTTTGGCATTTGAAACTTTTAAGTATTTCACTCACTTCACTTCTTTTCCTGTAACCATGAATCTCTAACACTATCAGCAATTTTTCTAAGATAATGGATCATTGTTATATGATGCTATCAGGGAATGAATGTTAAGGTAGGACCATCTGTGCTGCACCGTGAGCCCATAGTCCTGTGATTGTACAGGACGGCTTCTACTATTATAGACAGGACCTAGAGATGCTCTATCAAGAAGTTTATTTAACAACTATGTTCAGAGTGCAGCACTGCTATACTCCTACTCTACATAATGGGCAATAATTTCTTCCAACAAAAGCGCTAATCAGCTGGGCGTGGTGGTGCACGCCTGTAATCCTAGCACTCAGGAGGTTGAGGCAGGAGGATTGTTGCAAGTTTGAGACCAGCCTGGGCTACAAAGTGAGCTCATGGCCAGCCTGAACTGCATAGGGAGACCCTGTCTCAAAAAGACAAAAAAAAAAAGCGCTAATAAATTTTGGTCAATAAAGTAATTGCCAGAGTTGAGCAGAGCCAACATAATGCTTGCTAACTTGAAGTCTAGAAATATGGAACTAGCAAAAGAGTTGTCTAGTCCAACATGAAATGTATGTATACAGAAAATACCACAAATAATAGATTTGTTTAAGTATCTTTATATACAGTACATTTATAGATATATTTGTGTTTCTTACAGAGCAGCTCAAATGGTTCCTTAACTCTAGGAATCTTATAACAGTTCCAGGATTATGTGGCTCTCTATATATATCCCCAGCCATCAATCATGAGCAGCTCTTACACCTCAACAAGAACTGCTCACTAAATTGCTTGTAATTATGTAGCCATGCATAAGAATTCCCCCTCACCTCTCTTTCTAGCACCTAGTTTGGCTAAAAGTTGTTCGATTCTTATCTGTCATGGGTATGATGGTGTTCCTTGATATTGTTTTTCAAATATGTCCAATCTCTCCTCACCTTGTTCATGTTGACAATAAAGAATAACTAATAATCATCCTCTTTTCCATGTCTCTGGAAGACTGTTATTAAATATGCCTGTCTTTTTCCCCACACTCCCAATCAAGTCTACAGATAGATAGATAGATAGATATTTACATTATATTGCTTATATATATCCTTCAGTTCAAAGCTAAGGCCTGTAAAAGCACATGCTACTTTCAGCAGTGTACCTATATAGTTTGGCAAAAACATAAGCTAGTGTGATGCTGTGGGAGGACCAAACACTTTAGAAACACCCACTATCTTTTATTATCAAATTTTCTATGCCCCCATCTACTAATAAAGGTAGTAAACACACTTACAGGACTTGTGTGAGAATTACATAAGGATATATGCAATGAAGTTGGAATGCTGCCTGTGTGTCAGCGCTACTCAATATATAGTTGTTACTGTGCTTCATTATCCTATGAATACTGAATGAGTTTTACTCTTCTCCAAAATGCTTTCAGGGAAATCACATCCATAAATTTTCCTTGAACTATGTTTATTGAGGGAAGCCAACAGTTCTAAATCACACCAGTCATTTCATATCCCCTTCATTATCTTTCTACTGAGTGTAGAATCAAAATTGCAGGAGGATCTCTGAGCATAGCTGAGCTATAACAATGGGCAGGTGCTATAGCTTTGGCCAAGTTCTGAGCCCCTAGAACACCCTGTCAAGGAGCACTGGGGAGAGCAACCCGACATCCATTGCAGGTTTTTCAGTCAAGTGGTTCACCTATCTTCTTATAGTCATGCACATACCTTTAGTCACAGAGTCTGTGGTCTGGGAAAACAGTATCAGTACACTTACCGGCAAGAGTAGAAAGCTATGTCACAGGAGGAAGATTCCAGATTCCAGACAAATAAATGGGAAACTGAGTTGCCCAGAAAGCTAATAAAGAGTTTCTGATCTCTAAGCATAGGAAATAATGCAACTAAAACAAAACAAACTACAACAATAAAAAGCCAGGTAGGTGCTAAAGTTCTAATGAGGATCAGAAGAAATGTAGTAAAACTGTGAGGCTGGAGAAAAATAAGTAGATACTAAAGTGTATCTGCATGCTTTTGGTGGCCTGTATCTCCTTAGATACTAACTCTATTATAACTCACGCACCTGCAGGGGACAGAGTGTGCTGGCAGGTTCTTCATCATGTGTCACAAATCCTTGTTGATGAAGAAAAGAGTGAACTGACCAGTAATATCTACTTCCATTTCTGAGGTAAATACCCTGTTTTGTTTGACTTGATCATGTATATTACTTTTCTCTCTCTCCAAATGATACAATTCTACAATTTTAAAATAAAGAAATTTTGCTTCAATACTTTTGAATCGTGTGTTTAATTCAAGAGAGTCATACTGGCAGGGATATATTTTTATAAGATTTAAATTTAGTTTCTAAGTCACAGATACTTTCATATGTCAGGTAAAGGCAAACCGTTTGACTTTATATTTAAGAAGATAACAAGGCCTATAAAATGATTCAAGGTCCTTGGTCAAAGAACAACCTAGAGTGATTGAGATTACAGATGCTATGGGTTCCATTAAAAGATCTTCAGAAGACACAGCTACAGGGAAGAATAAATGTGAAAAATCAGAAAGTTGAAGTGGTTTTTGGGTTTTATTTAAGCCTATACTCTTCATACTTCAATAAAAAAGCCTACATTCTTGACACTTTACTCATCAATAAAAAAGTAGCTACTGAGTCAATATTATTTAATGAAAGAAAAATTGAATTTATGAGTAAATTACCCATCAAGAACATGAAAACATAGTACTGCATGGAAAGGTATCATACTAATTATTTTGTGCCATGATTATGAGCAACTTGTTCAGCTACTCCAAAACAAAGTTGATGCTTATATTGGTTTTTCTCAAAAAATCTCTGTATGTGTTTGAAGTGAGATAGATGGGTTTGAACTGTAGATATTTTGGAGTGGAAAAATAATAATGATATTAATGGTGTAAATGTCAGAAAGGGACCTTAGTGTAGCTTGGGGTCATGCTTTTAAGATTGATTTGGTTTTTGTTAGGGGTAAGCATGGAGTCACACTTTGGTATCCCACTGCTTCTACATCTCAAACTCACCCTAATTTAATAAGAACCTGGAAGATCAATGACAGCTTTGGAGCACTGAAAGAATTTAATGAGGAATCCAGTAAGATCACCCTCCCAATAATGCCACACCAGATGGCTCGGCAACATTATCTTCTCAGCAATATAATCACTAATTAATGTGTTGTTCACTTCACCCACACAGCTAAAGTTCAATAGCAAGCCTAGCAAAAATTCTAGTTTATTTTTCATTTGGATATTCAAGGAGATATAAAACTCCATCTCCAAACAACTGTTGTTATGTGAATACGCTAGTACAGCTTTGTTAAGACTGATGCGTTCACAGATCTACTTCACCTCAAACCCAGAAGCAATGGACTCACCAACATCCCTTAAAAGCAAAGAGAATTCTTCAGAGAACATTTTGCTTTTGACCACAACTATTTCACAATGTTAGCAGGGTGAAAAGTATGTTATAAAAGAGGACTGAATTCTTCAGGGTGAAGTGCCCTATGTCTATGATGTAATTTCAGAACCAAGGAACATTCTTCTATCCAGAGATCCAGCACTTAGCAGCCTCAGTGCCTCCAAAATACTGTCTGTAATTTTGAAATAATAGAAAAATGTCTTTGAGTCAAAAATAATAAAATAATTCTCACAAAATCTTCTATTTTTATTCCTGTCACATGCTATTTACTTTTAGTTTATGTGCAAAGATGAAGCAATCAATTATTTCATATGCAACAGGAAGTATAAATATAATTATTTTATGGAGAGAGGTGTTTTAGAAGGAGAACTACATATAGAAAAATGACAGTGGATGATTTATCCAGAAAAATGAAATGCCAAGGAGTAGACAGAGGTAAGTTGCTTAATAGTAGAATAACAGGAATTCATCAAGATGATTCTGAGTCACAAAGGAAAGATTCCATTGGATTTATTACTTAAGAAGACGAAAAGTGGTCATTTCAGAAATCCATCAAAATATTATATATATTTCTTTAGAACTGGCATTTGAAAAGGTACAATTAGTCATGTGGAAAAAACACACACGAAGAACATTTTATTCTCCAAAAATCCAAATGAAAATAGACCATTACTATATTTAGGAATTTCTTAAGTAACTCTATTTTCTCAATAGTAGGAGTCAGTTAAAGCAGTATCTAGGCTCATCTGCTTTTAAACATATTTCCACAGAGAAGAATCAAGTGCCACTTGGTTTTTAGCAACCATTCATCAGGATTTTGAAGTGAACAATGAGTAATAACAGAAAGTGATGGAAAACAGATGCAATAAAATAGATTCTGTTGGGCAGAAATAACACAGAATCATAACGTAAATCAACACTGAGAAAATAATTAGGTAATCCATAGAAGGAAGTAATTTTTGGTAAACAAAACAGCAAAGTATAGAACTTATACCATTCCACTGTGGAAATATGAATCTCAGATACCTCACTTGCTAGCTATATGAATTAGGCAAAAGATTTCATTCGCTGGCCTTGGTACCCTTTTCTATGAGATGAAATTAATAAAAGTACTCGTCTCAAGGTTTATAGTGAGAATCAATGGAGATA